GCACAGTTAACCGGAGCCATGACTGCATGAGTCATTGAGAAATGAGTCGAGTTATCTGAAGCCACGCGTCAAACGATGAATCCAGTCGACCAAGGCCGCAAGATAAAGCTTCCTTCTAGATTCAAGGTCTTCATTGTTAAGGCCGCGTATCCCTCAAATTCCAAAAACTAAGAATGTTATTATTACCGATGTAGCAGGGTGTCTACTAAAATCAGTGATTTTACAGTACTTTTTCAGTACATTTCCGAGAAATTCAGCAGAGATGAAGAAAGTTTATAGCCTTCCCCAAAATGTACTGTTTTGCTATACTTGCGCCTCTACATAAAACAACGCGCTTAACAGCTTCCTTCCCCAAAAGTGACACGCTTGAAAGACTTCCAGCATAAAAAACAGCGCGCTCAAAAGTTTCCGCCCCCAAAAACAGCGCGCTTAATAGTTTCCGCCCCCAAAAGCAACGCGTATAAAAGTTTCCTTCCCCACAACACTGCCGTACTAAGGAAAAGCGCCGTATGAACATTCGAGAGTTGCCAAATTTCCCTGGGTAAAACATGTATTCTTGACAACATTTACGCACAGTTTTCTTTGACATTTTCAGATATTTTACATTAAATTGCGTACAAAATAGTCTGAAAATTTTGGAGAAAAATATTCACAGTTTTCCCAATAAATTCGGTTTTTATCGAAGGAAACTTGGCAACGTCTGAAGGCTCATACGGCTTTTTTCCTTAGCACGGCAGAGCAGCACGCTTGAAAGGTATCTATAGCACAAATAACAAGGCGCTTCCCTGTTTTTCTCTCAAAAACAAGGGGGGAAAAAAATCTTTTAAAATTTTTTTACAACTTTCCAAAATTCTCATGCGAGCGGCCACGCAATCATGATCGCGTGATCGAGAACATTCTGCACCCCTGAAATTCAGCACCTCCTCAACGGAAAAATTCAGTACTTTTTCAGTGCCTCCATTAAACGAAATTCGAAAAATTTCGAAAATTTGATCTTCTCGCTGGAATTGCGACAAAAAAGACGTAGAAACAACTATTTATGGGTGGTTTGAAGATTACCTGACTGGGGAATCGCGATCTTGCAGGCAAATACTACTCAAAGAATCAACGCGCATACTTTCCAGGTTTAATTAAAGAACACGCGTGGTATAAGGGGAAAAATTCCGGACCTTCTTGTGGAATTTCCGCCTTTTCTCAGTACTTTCGGACCGCCCTTAAAAAATCGGTACTATTTTTGGACTTTACGAACTAGACACCCTGATGTAGGCATGGCTGTCAACAATATTTTTTTTTACTTTTCTGAAGAAAAAAATTGTCGGACCCGCCATGGCGCGAGGCGTGAACTCGAAATGCTCCGCTCTACGCTGCCAATGCGGTGTCATTTCGTTTCGGAAGCAATATTAGAAAAAGAGGCTCGATTCCGTCTCCCGTATCTTCGACTATGTTTGTCGCGAACCCTTAAAGCACCCCTACAATTAATAAGACAAATGAAACTTGAGCAACGAAAAGAATACGCGATCATAACGGCGCAGAGATACAACTATTCGTACTTAATGGATGTCCGTGTTGCGTCTGCAAAATTGAAGGCGCGATGGCGCAAGGCGTCATCACACAATGCTCCGCTCTATGCTGCTAATGCAGTGTCGCTTAGATTCGGGAGAAATATTAGGAAAAGAGGCCTGATTCCGTCTCTCCTATCTTTGACTATGTTGCTCGCGTAGCGTAGCTCTTAAAGTAGGTACCCCTACAAGTGATAAGACAAATGGAACTAACACGACATTGAACTGGAGCAACGGAAAGGATACACGTTCATGACGGCGCAGAGATACAACTATTCGTACTTGATGGATGTCCGTGTTTCGTCTGCAAAATTGAAGGCGCGACGGCGCAAGGCGTAATCACGTAATGATCCGCTCTATGTTGTCAAAAAGGGGTCGCTTTAATTCGGAGGAAAAGTTAAGAAAATAGCCTCGAATACGCCTCTACTGCATAAAAAGCGAACTAGGAAGCAGAGTTTAGACTTTTTTAACGTGTCCATCGTGGTTTTTATGGCCATTTAACCCCTGAAAAATCTTGTCACACGGCTGTATCTCTTGAGTGCAACAGACTCATTCTTTTCCAAAAACTTCGAGCGATCTTGCCTCCTCCCTTGCATGAGAATTACAATTAACGGGGAAATGCTGCGGCACAAAAAAGTTGGAAAAACTCTTTATATACCTTCAATATCCGAATTTCAATTTAGGATATACCGCATAGAGGGTCAAATATGCGTTGATTCTCAACGGATATCTTCGAAATTTCTCGCACACGAATGGTCGATAATGAACCCTGCTATACCCATTTGGCGACGAGTCCTGGAAGACAAGCATTTTTATGGGCTTCAAGGCTCATCAAAAAAAGGATTTTTTTGGGTTATAACATTCTCCGATTTGTAAGTTTTCTCCTGGGCTCGATGACGAGTTATGATCCCTATCAATCACCCCTTCAAGCTTTGCCATCGATTCGGAATTCGGAAACAGAATTGAACAGAACTGGAGGGGATGTAAGGACTTCCTCATAATTCATTACCTGTCAGCCCCCCCCCCTCCCGCGTACGGGGGAGTTGAAGAACCTTTAATATTCAAACATAGAAATAAAATGTCACATCCGTTCGATTAAGCTATGCTCACATCGTGTTATATGTTACTGCCTACAGGTTTTTTGAGTCAGAGGCTCAACTTCCTCACAACTCAATCGAATATTTTAGAACCCTGAAATCTACAACTAAAAAGAATCAGTACGGTAACAGTATCAAAACACTCGGGAGGAGGAGCGTTACGCCATTTCGTTATAACATGATTAAGGCTAAGGATCTACGTCACAAAAGCGGAGTTAAAAATGCCGAAAAAATGCGTTACCCAATTTATGAACGCTCTCAAACTACTATAAGTGCAACCCTTTCATACAGGAAATAACCCTGGATGATAGATGACTTACAAATGGACTACACTTTGCGATTAAAAACTATAAATTCCAACCCGGTTTAAAAACAGCACATGTGCCATTAGTTTCCCTATACACATAAGTGTTTTTCAGATGAGCCAGACTTTGTAGGTCCAAATTGCAAAATGCAATCCAAATGTGCCTACCAGTACAGGTCTGGATTTAGCGCTCAAGGGCTTGGGGTGCTGGAAATTAGAGACTCAACATACTAAAATTTAAGAGCTCCATGACACCCAAAACTCCGGACTTAGGGTCCCTCTGAATCCGCCTCCTAGCCTCTTGAAGTCCCTATCCTCAATTGGTCAGATTCGAGATTTGTTTGAACCTGTATGGGTCCAAAATCCACTGAATTTGGTTGAATACCTCCCCCTGTTCTCATGAAAGAATCTGAGATTGCTCTACTTGGGCTACATCTGATAATGATGGACCCTCATAAAAGTGCGAGAGGACATCCAGAGGAAGCTGGAATGTTATTTAAAGCCTTTTGATAAATTGTACCATACAATAGGGGAAAATGGTAACGATGCAAACTTGCTTGGAAATCTGAGCAAAGAGCTTTTTTTTCCACTTTTTTACAGTGTCTATTCATAAAGCAGTGCAGGGGTACAAAATCTGCACAATCATGGACGATCCACAGAATACGTGATCGGTGACAAAATTTTTGTCCAAATGGACCCCAAAAAAAGTTTTCGGAAGAAGTTCCGACAGTATACCTATACTCCCAACTTTAGGGGAAATGCTTAAAGCAAAGTTTCAAAACAGAAGAGCAAAAAAAAGGTCATCACTTTAAAATATGTGGGAAAGCGAGGAAATTCTTCAGAGGAGACAAAAGAGTTAATAAAAAATCTGGTTAATGTGAAACGTTTGGCGAAATGGCATTTTTAAACCCCCGCAGCAGTGAAATATCTTTGTAATAATTGCCTGATGTTCAGTAAATCAGTCATATCTATGTTGTTTAAAAAAATGAAGCCCTATGAGCTTGGAATTTAGAGATTGAGACATTTTAAAAAAATTTAAAGTCAGAACGTCATAACAGTCTAATTAATGTTTGACGGCCAGGACAGAATGTAACCTTATTCCCGAGAAAGAACTGGCTCGTAAGAGCAGAACTGAGTATCCTTCAGTGTTCTGATATTAGTGAAGAACAAGTTCATGTGTATACAGATAAAATTCAAGCACGCTCAATTGGTTTCCCTGCTCAGAAAAATTGCCCAGGAATAATTCAATACGTATCACTGTATATTTCTTGGATCTGGGAAACTGTTCTCTAGGTCTCGCTCTCGAACACAAATGCTAGAAGGCCGGTCTGAATACTAGGGCGATGACACCCAATGGAGCAAGTGTGAATTTAACTTGGTAAATAGTCACAGATGGGTGTTTCTTTACTCATATACACACTCTACACTAAGATCTACGAAGCTGAGTCAAGACAAAAATCTGGCGATACAGAGACAGTAACAAGTTCGAAGCTTGAGTGAAAGGACTGCCACAACAAGAAACAGCCCTCTTTAATCAGAGTTAGAGAAAAAGTACTCTTCACACAGTTGTAAAAACGCTTGGGGTGGAAAAAAAAGCAATATCTTTGATGGAAAATGGAAAATTATTTACCAACCTGCATCCTGTCAATGATGGATACTGGCGATGGCGAGGAATCAAGGGGTGGGACAATTGAATTGATAAGCCGGGTCCACTGTCCTTTAAAAAGGTGGCTCCAACTACAAAAACATCACAAACTTTCGAAAAATTCACGGATCAGAATTACAAATTTGCACGGAATTACTGCACACACACTTTTGAAACAGATAATAAGGACGTCTGAAAAACTGGTAATAAAAATTGTAAGTAAAAAATCCCCGTATGTAACGAGCACGAGCTCCTAGACAAACGAAGAGAACGAGACACCGAGATACCCGCCTAAAGTAAACAATAAAACTGATTGGTCATTGGTGCATTGGTTCGCCAGTGCCTGCCATCTTTCGGCAGAAGGCGAAACTATAACCAAAACAAAAACTAACTGATAACAGTGATAACAGCAACAGCAAGGGAAGGGAATGCATAATCGCATGTAAAATCCGAATTTGAAAGTAAGCATGACACTTTCTTTTCTAAGTTCGTTCAAAAGCGTTAGATTTTTATTTTAGCATTTTAGCTCTGCCTAAGATCATTCACATAATCAGTTAAAAATGATGATCGAGTGTTGTTGACAGCATTCAGTGTGTTTCTCTCTTGCAAGCTTGCATATACTTCTTTTTTCCCATCCTTATCAGTCTCAGAACTAGCTTCTGAATATTTTATCGAGAAATGGAACATCTACATGAAGCCTGTAAGTTTATGTAACAATCTGATTTGTAAGTAATTCAGCTTAAAACATTCCCATCGACTTCCTTCAATTTTGAATAACTTTAGTTTTAACTATTTTTACTCACATGCTGCCTCTATTTTTTCATTGAATAACAGAGGCCAGATTTAAACAAACGTTTTAACACAGGCTGGATGTGTAATTTGCATTTTATATCAAGAGATGCGCCTTTCAAACCTTCGTATGAACGCCACTTGCGTACATGCAACTCTAAAGGGACTCTTCACAACCGCCATTAAGAGGCATGTCATATTGCAACAGTATGTTCTGTTGTGATGAACTAAAATCAACAGAAATAAATATAATGTGATGTGGAGGAGCATATTCATGGTGTTAGTTGGCAATCACATAACTCGGTTTGTGAAGTCGCAGACTTCCTGTCATACCTACTTTATTTTGTAAACGGAAAACTACTCAATGGCAATTCTGTAAAACTGCCATGATTATTCTTCTCTTTTCAAAGAAAATTCTGCAAAAACTTCAAGAAATGATGTCAATTTGTTCTCCTTCAAAAAAATATCATTAAATCGGAGATTTTCAGACATGGCAAACAAGATATGTGATTGCGGACTCACGCTGTCGATATACATATTCAATGAACTGGAGTTATGTANAAACAGCTTCAAAACAAGCTCAAGCTGAGCCCTGTAGCTTAATTAGAACCCGAGTTATGATTTTTTGAAATTCAAGGGGTTCACAGCCCCGGGGGTTTTTTTGCCATCTTTGAGCCCCCGTAACTTCGGTTCTATTGGTCGTAGAGTGCTGAAATTTTGGGATTTTCATACCATCATACGGATCATTATGCTCACCAAGTTTCATCAAAATCAAAGATGGTCATGAAAATTTTGCCAGATTTTTGGTTGATTTGGTATGGAATGACCCAGTTCAAAAAAAGTGCAAGAAGAACATAAGGATAATTATTTTGAAAAATCATCAATTCAAATGTGTGGTTTTTTGTGTGTGTTTTTTATAGCTTCCAAAGCATCTTTTCATAACTATTCTGGTCCAAGTACAAAGATGAGCAAGTTCCGGAAATTTGTCGAAGAAGCGAAGAGAATTGTCATTTTAACTGGAGCTGGTGTATCAGCAGAATCAGGTATACCAACATTCAGAGGAGCTGGAGGATTTTGGCGAACATATCAAGCTCAAGACTTGGCATCTCCAAAAGCTTTTCATCGGTCTCCATCATTAGTATGGGAATTCTATCATTACAGGCGTGAACTAGTGCTAACAAAAAAACCAAACAAGGTTTGTTTTAATCACGTGATCAAATTCTAATCTGAGACTAATCACTAGAATTCACAGGAGATAACTTTCCAGTTGTCTACTTTTGACTGTATTGTCCAGTAGACTGATATATGTATCTGTGCATGGCGTCCTCACCTGCGGTCAATAATGGCAGTGCAGTTGCTTGCAAACGGAAAGTAAACTACTGCCAAATTATTCAATGTAAGTTTCAGTAATCTTAATTTATCAGCTGCCATGCCATCAGTATGTCATGTAACTTGTATCATATTTCATAGCATTGCTGATTTTCTGTCAAAATTTAATTATTTTTATGGATTGGCTATTCCATCATTACTGCACACAATTTGGTCTTTTTCATCCTGATCTTCCAAAAATATCCACTAAAAAACTGCGCCAAAACGAATGTCCAGTTTTATTCTCCAGGTAACATGTGACCAAAGGCGGATCCAGCAATTTGGCGACACCGGATTTCATCCATTCACACTTATGCTAAACAATCGATTCTTGTCGGAGCACCTGGCCCCTCCAAGAATCGATACATTTTTATCATTCAAATGGAGAAAAAACAATGTTGCTAATTTGCTGGATCCGCCAATCCATGTTACCAAAATGGAAGGACTTGAGTGAATTATGTAAAATTATCTAAGTCTGAGGAAAGTCCGTAAGGAACACATACTACACTCATATATTTGCAGGAACAATCTTAATTGTCGCCTATTTTTAACCAATCATGTACCTATCGCGTTTCATCCTGGTTTTCTTTCTCAATTTGCAGGCTCACATTGCGATTGCTAATTATGAAAAAGCATTGGAAGGGAACCCTGATCGCACGCTTACAGTCATAACACAGAACATAGATAATATGCATCAAGCTGCAGGATCCAAGAATGTTGTCGAGTTGCATGGCAATCTGTTCAAAACCAAATGCCTCAAGTGTGGAGACGTAGCTTGGAATGCCGACAGTCCCATCTGTCCTGCGCTCAAAGATAGAGGGTTGCAATTTACTTTTTTTCCCTTCATTGAGTCCAACTTATACCATTAAAAATATTATCATTATTAGGTATCTGGGTGTAAGTTCAAGGTTGGATATACAGGAGCGAACTCTATCGTGCTTTGTTTAAGAGATTGCTAGGCCTCTTAGCTGATTGCAGTAGGAGGCCAGGTCGAGTCTTTAACCAGGCCACAAATCGACAGTAAAACTATCAGGCCACGTACCTCGTTTGCAGTGTCTAAAAATCTCCGCTTCCATTTTTTTCTTTTCTTTTTTGAAAGAGCACAAAGTCAATATTACTCCTCGTTTTCTCAGATTTGTCTCAGCTCAGAAAAGAATAATCATGGAAGTTTTCAAAAACAAATTGTCACAGAGTGGTTTTCCATTTGAAAAGTAAAGTATGACTGGAAGCCTGCAACATTGCCAACCGGAATACGTGATGTGGTAGGTAATTTTGCTGTTGATAAGTATGTAAATTTTGTTTTACAGGATAAGGGTCTGGTTACACTACCTCTGATTAGGAAAATTTAAGCACAAGCGGATAGCTTATGAAAATCTGAAAACCATTAATTTTTTTATCTTGGCAAACGAGCCCTCCAAACAACATGAAAAATCTAGTGGTCCACCTCTGATCCTTAGCAGGGAGCTACAGATTGGAAAATTTCTCAGTTATTTTTTCCTGTTTCACTTTTATTTTTCAACAATTTCGATCTTATTTTTGCTAATTTTGTCGTTATTTTTGTAGCACTTTTTGCGTTTGAGAGCTTGAAATAAGGCCATTAACTTGATTTAATGAGTCATCACTCAGTCTTTAGTCCAAGTCCCTGCATTTGAAGATTAGTATAGACTCTGAGCGCACAATAGTGCAGGCTGCCACTCGTCATCAAATCGTTTACAATTACGAATTCACATTTATTTTTTTACCTTTCAAAAAACATGCATATTGGAATCTTGAATTTTTTGTTGTATCCAGAGATTTTTTTAGTGTTGTCAGTGGTTTTAATCCTCTTTCAAAACAGTGGCAATTTTTTAATATTCTCAAAAATTTAAACTCCAAACCCACCTGATCAGTCTGACAATATTAGTATTATCTTGTAGTGAAGCATTAAATGCATATTAAATTCTAGTCCTGTTTTTTCTCTAGTTGCCCGGATCCTGATTACAAAAATTTAGAGCCAATTCCTGAGAAAGATCTTCCCCACTGTAAAAAACCGAAGTGTGATGGACTCCTAAGGCCTTTTGTTGTTTGGTTTGGTGAAGGTTTGGATCCCAAAGTCCTCCAAAAAGTTGGTACGTTTAATTTTTAACTATATCAAGCATTTTTTTATTGGATAGCCTATGTTTTTGTCACCAATGTATGTATCAAGAGACAACTGAGTGCAGACTTTGAAAGTAATTGTCAAGTATTCTGCTGTGCTAAGTGAAAACGTTGTGTAAGCATTCACACGTTGCCGAATTTCCTCTTTGAAAATATTTAATTTTGAAGAAAGTTATGAATATTTTATCTGGTAATAGGTATTAAACCGAAAGGAACAAAAACTAAACGTAATGAAACAAACAGGAAATCGAGGTAACAAATTATGGTGAGCTAATTTAAAGAAATAAATGAAGCCGAAACCAAAAAATTCAAACTCACAAAAATAAATTAAAATTGCTGCCACGTTTCAGGGCTCCCCGGTCCCTTCTTCAAGGCTAAAGTCCAACTTTCGGAATTTAGAAGAAGGGGCCAGGGAGCCCCGAAACGCATCGGATATTTCAATTTATTTTTGTGAGTTTGAGTTTTTTAGTTTCAGCTTTCTTTATTTCATTTTAATTGGTATATTTATTTGTAACTTTTTTCACACTTATAAAGTACGTTTGAATGATCCATTTTTAAATTTTTGCAGATCAAATATTGCAAGACTGTGATTGTTGTTTGGTTATCGGCACATCTTCTGTCGTTTATCCTGCCGCCATGTTTGCACCCCAATTGGCAAAGAGAGGAGTGTGTGTCGGAGAATTCAACATTGAGGCTTCTGCTGCAACGAATGCTTTTCAGTAAGTTCATTGTACTGAAACATATGGCACAGGCATGCATAAGCCATTTGCATCAGTCCACGTATACCAGACATTAGGAGGCAATAAAAAGTTACTAAATATCCTCTATTTCATCTCAGAATCTCAAGCACATAAAAGTAAAAAATTTATAAGGAAAGGATGAAAACACTTGGAAGACCTGAAGTGAATTTTTGCAATGAAATAAAATTCACTATAAAATGTCTGAATGCCAAGTGATGATGATATTTTGTAGACTTTTTAACCAATATGAGAGTTAAGAATGGATGAATAGACAAAATTCTGCTTAAATTGCTAAACTACACGATTCGATGTACAACGCATAGGAGAGAATGAAAATGGCATCCATACCACAAAGTGTTAAATCAATGCAACTGATAGGGTAGTGTCCACATTTCACTGTAAATGTGCACTATGTCTTTAATGTTTAACGTAAAAAACTTCAATGAAAAGTATTTTGTATTGACAATAAAAAATCAAGCACAGCAAAGCATTAATGAAACTCACTTCCTCCAGTTAAAACCATTTTCTTTTGCTATGGTCGCCATTTTTGTTGTAAAGTGATGGCTGTCAGTTCTGTCACTCTTGAAGTCCTGATGGTAAAGTGAAAATGCCAAACGCCTCTGGGAGACAACATATCAACGGCGCAAGTCCGCAATCACATATCTCGTTTGCTGTGTCTGAAAATCTCCGGCTCTATATTATTTTTTTAAAATGGAACAAATTGACATCATTCCTTAAAGTTTGTGCAAAATTTTCTTTGCACAAAAAAGAAACATCACAGCGGTTTTAAAGAATTGCTGTTGAGTAGTTTTCTGTTTGAAAAATAAAATATGACAGGAAGTCTGCAACGTCGCAAACCGAGTTATGTGTTTGCCAACTTACACCGTTGATATGGAAACTTGAGCAGTAAAATCCCATTGGTCAATTCCTAAAATTTCTGAAGAGGTGCTCCAATAGTACGACATCTTGAACATGATTCTAATGAGGACAAACATTATGTCTCAATAAACAATTGCTTCAAAAATTTTATGGGTGCCATCTCATATTTATTTTGTTTTGAAGGTGCCCCTTAAATACAATGTGTTTTTTGCCTCTTTCAGATTTTATTTTGAAGGCCCGTGTTCTAAAACTGTCCCAGTGGCTCTCGGATTTGAAGATGAAGAATAACACTCAATCAGAATTGGTGAGATCATAATTCGCAACTGAATCTTCTATGAAAGTTGTGTGAGTTAAAGCTACAATTTCCTTTATCTTTCCAGACCGTCTGTCTGTTGGATGAGTTTACGATCAAGCGGCTGAGAAATTTTTTCAAAATCCACGATATAAGTAGAGTGGCAGAGAAACAGTCGGTTGACTGCCGCTTACTGTTAATTACGGGTTAAGCACAAGGGGCTTCGTTTTTCCCAGCAACGTTACGAGCAGTAGCTGCGCAGAGTGTGCATAAGAACCAAACTTTTAGGCGGAATCTTAGCTTAATGCAGCACTTTGTTACTGCTGTGCAGTGTCACAAAGCTTTTATTTTGTAATTCTGAAATTCTTGATTATTATGTCAGTATAGTCTAATTTAACAGCCTACCTGCAAGCTGAGAAACACCCTGTAATTTTTTTTACTTAAGTAAAAACTGAACTTTTCGTAGAAATTTGTAGATGGAGCCACTAATAAATCATTTGAAAAAGAGAATTTGGCAATATATCTGAAACAAAACGCTGCCTTGAGCTGAAAATTTCCCCGTAGGTTTTCCTTATCAAGCGCCCAGATTTGAGCAATATTAACCTGCGGGCTGAGTGTTGAAATTGATAGACTAAGAAGACATAAGGAGCATGGAGCAATCCTAGTGGTTGAAATGGGTAGTTCTCGTAAACTAAGGGAGTAAATGATGAACTAACTATCGGGTCTCTCATGAGTTGCCGCTAGTTAGTCTATTACCCACCTTCTTTGTCCATTTCAACCACCCGCTTCCATCAATAGGATAGCTCCATACTCCCTATGTCTCTTTTGTCCGTAGCTTTGTCTATCGACTTCAACAATCAGCCTGCTGGTTTAGTATTAAAAACAGGCGTCATTTTTGTAAAGGCACTCAGCCATGGCTAGTGAAATGCAGTTTAGGGAGGAAAGAATGAGTCCTGATTTCAAAAGGAGTTAAAACATAATCATCCTTCATCCGAAGTAGAGCTGCGCGAAATAGCTGACTTGTTGGAGTTAGTCATTCCACGTTGTCTGGAAAATTCCATTTTTACTTTTAAAATGCACCAATTTTCATGAAATTTTGAGAAAATTTTATGTTGAGGAAACGGTTGCGCAGAGTTCAGGAGGAAACAGGAGAAAAAAAAAGGCGTGATGGCACTTACGCCCCTTTCCCACATGGGTCCTCATGTTTTGTCCTTTTCTTTCAGTTTGACCTTGATCATTTGTTTTTACTTTTCTTAGTGCTATGTGAAAGACAGATGAGAGGAATCTTTAGAATTAAGTCACTGTCATTTTAACTTAAATGAAATGTAAAGGAAAGTTCTAAGTCAAAACAAGGCAGCATCCTTGTAAAAAGTTAACAAAGAGGAATATTGGTTAGGGAAATTTGGTGGAATATTATTTTTGGGATAAATAAGCTAAACAGATGTAGGTACACTGAAAACCAAGACATGGGTGGCAAGTATTCATTCCGATTGCCTGCTGCTTTTGCAGGGAGGAGGGTGTCCAAGACTCACCGTGGAATACTGACAACAGTCTGGACCTGCTCAGGCAGAGTCTTGAGCAGAATTTTTCTGTTAAGTTTTGTTTTATCCCTGCATAATGCTCTGGGCAAAGAGGAAAATGATTTCAAGAAGAAAATAAGAGAAGAGAAGTATGCCCTTGACCTGGTTAGCAGTTGCTTGGCAATATTTCCATGATATTTTTTTAATTGTTTGGTGTATTTTCCAAAAACTCCGACATAATGCTACACATTTTCATGTTTCTTTTTTTTGTATCATGAGAACTTGCCGTTAAAACTTTTTTTCGAATAGTGTTCTTAAATTCATTGCAATAATATTTTGTGTGTTTATCCATCTGTTACCAAGATGCTCTACCATTTAAAAAGTAAGAATTGTCTCAGAAACTGTTGTTACTTTACTGACTTGTGATCTTCTTTTATTTCTCTAATAATCACATTCTCATTTTTCATATCAGAAAAAAGTATATTTTTTTCACTCTTGAATTCATCGTTATCAATGAGTGTAGCCGTATACAAACATGCTCCTTTTTTAATTTGAGTATATGTACTGCAGGTTTTTTTTTATAGTCAGCTGCCTCAATGGCTATCCCTAAGTCTGAGGAATTGTTGCAGATACTTATTCTTGAAATTTTAGGTTAGCAGAAGACCTAGTACAAAATGTTCAGAACCAAGAATAGTTTTGCTCTTTGACATTCAAATACCAACATTTAATTTTAAAGAATTAGAGACTGCACTGAAATGATAGGGATTTTCCTGGATTTTATGGAACAATTAACAATATGTATTCACTCAAGAAAAACAAGTTTCAAGTTGGATATTTTGAGCTTCTATTTAAAATTGCTTCGCTGAGATAGCCCCGATAGTGTCTGAAAATATCTCTCCTGCTCCCGTGGCCAGATCTGTAAGTTTGCCATAATCCTCAGTTCAAGCAGCCACGCATTGATAATGTCTGCATGGACTCACATGGATGGCAGCGGACATAGCTATTCAGCCGCTGCATTGCATGAGCAGAGAGATATTTTCAGATATGCATGTTTAAATGGAAGCTCGATACATGCAACTTTGAGCTTATTTTTCATGATTTAATATCATTAAAAAAAATCTCGGAGAATTTCTGGCAACTTAGTGCACTCTCTACTTTGCAGAAATGCAAAATTCAAAAATTACTGAACAAACTCATTGTGAAACTTGATTCAGTTACCAGTGACTAGTCTGAAATAAAATATAGAAAATTTGATACCACAGGATGTACCAAGAAATGGTATGGTAGGTAGTAACTAGTATGTAAGATTGTAGAAATGCAATACTACAGGATGTACCAAGAAACTTTATTTAATACACAAAAAATGAACAGTCTTATGAACATACTTAACAATAATATTTAGCTAACTAACAGTTTGAAGATTCTAACGTTTTTACAGCTACTGTGACAATGAGATTGAATGGAATAGAAAAATAAAAAAAATTGCCGATAGGCGAAACAATTTAACAAAACACGATTCAAAGACCATTACACATATTTGCAAAATTGACTGTCATAGGACTTCGATTTGAGTGCATCAAAAATGTGCACCAACAGAAAATAATAATATGCACATGTGCTAATGTTACTCAAAAGAGCACAGGTCTGTATCCTTTTCATAAACTAACCGATTACATGAAGAAAGTAAGCACCATTTCAAAAAGAAGTCCAAACTTTTTGCTTTTCAGTCTTGCTTATAATTGTTAAAATTCATGGGTGATGTCTTGATTTCTTAAAATATTACTTCTGTGGGTATCTCTAAAGAGAAATCCAAGTCTGCATGCTTAATTAAGTATCATAAAGGAATCGACATTCATGCTAAAAGGGAAATTTTAGAGCAAAAATGTTTCACTTTCTAAGCATCCGAATAAAAGTTTCATCCTATAGCAGTAGAAAGAGAATTTAGATGAATAAATCCAGGATGAGAAAAAAAATTACCAACGAGATATTCCAGGTACAAAGAGGAAATTCAACTGCACATTCCTATTGGCACGCAAGGCAATACACATTGCATATAATTATTGTTACGAGGTATTTAAAAAAAGTCAAGTTAAGAGCATTAAGGAGAGACACAGGGATCGAGTGTTGAGAAAGTTAGGTTAGATAGGTGGTTTTGGACATGTCTTGGAGTGCTGAAACTCACAATGAAGTTTCTTGTGCAAACAACAGATGTTTATTCATACCAATTGGGAATCATTATTACTGCTCTTGACATGCGACTACTTGTATCGGCCTATCAAGTAATTTAACCACTAACAGACGAAGACAAAAAAAAAAAAAAACATTAATAAAATATTAAAAACATTAATATTATATTAAAACATTAATAAACGTATTTTATTGCACATTAATAAAAGTAACACTTTCTCAAAAATAAAGAACCGATGAGGACTATTCAGAGAACCTAAACTTATAAGACGAAAGGTAGTAGGAGTCAGAAAATTGTTCAAGGAAGAAAAAAGAATTGCTTAAGTACAAGGAAATTTACAAAAAGGCTATAAAGTCACTCTTGTCCGAGTTAGAAGTAATTTAATACGAAAAGCCCTCTCTTGCCAGAAGCACTGACAGTTAACGAGAGCTTAGATACTTGGATACTCTATGAAAGACGGAATTCAATTATTCCTGGAAGGTGCGCAAGAAATAAATAAATATTTGCCTAAAATCCCTTAGATTCCGTGGATCGATTCCTTGAAGATCACTTTCCTTGCAAAAAATTGTCATTGATGTAATTTGAACAAAGAAGAAACACAGAACTAAGGAGTTAGTTATCCTCATTCACAGGTTGATTTGTAGTATTAATACAAGGTTCTTTCTCAAGAAAAAAAAACGGAATAACAGGAGAGTGAGAAGATGAAAATACAGGCAAGGCCAAGTTATAAGTTCTAAAAAATGAAAAATGATGATGAGGCACTTGTATTGAGGAACAATCCAATTTTGATTCCTATGACTAGCATCTCTTTTAAAATTAATCATGAACATTGATGCAACTTTTGGGGCTAAATCTCAAATAGGTAAACAATTTTAAAGTGTTTCTTCCTGCAACAAATGTTAGTATCGCAATTTTTGAATTGAGAAACTTTTTAGACTGTGAAGCTGATCTTTTTCGTAAGTTCTTCAAGGAATTTTCTATTCCCCACTAGACGTAATATTTTTTAATCTCTTGCACACCAAACATTACACAAGAGGCGACAGGACTTTAACAGAGAAATCCAACACCAAGATAGAGTGATTACAATGAACGTTCTTGACCTTTGCCACAAAATATATCACACGCACCTGATAAATTAAAAGAACTCAATGATCTTTATCATACAACCATGACCATATTTGAGAAAAGAGACTTTGCTGCCTGAAAACACAGCATTGCGTCATTTGAGTTGCTATGTAGAGGAGAGTTTTACATTGGTAGAGGCACAAAAATAACATGAAAATATGACTCAATCCTTACTGAAACACTCTTGATTGAAAAACAATGAATGCCATTCAATGAGACTTGGAGAGTTGAGCCTCTGCTTTAACAGATGGAGAATACCAAATGGAGGTTTTTTCCTACACACAGGACAATTTACAAAGATGCAGTAATTACAAAAACCAGGAAATGCTAAGACTGGACCGTGATTGTTCTGGCATGATGTGATTAAAATTTAGAAGCTCATGGGAGTTATGATAATGTCTTCAATATATATATTTTGGGAAAGAGCAATGATTAAAAGTTCCAAAAATAGTTAGTGAATATTTGAGAGAGCCATTGATGCTCTGACTGTGAGATTGTTCACAATACTTGATGATAAATTTGATTTCTCAGTCAGTTCCTGTCTGAAAAATTGATTACTTATAAATGAAGCCGTCATATCGAGGACCATTGGTGCAAAAAATCAGGAGAGGTATTTTATTGCAATGTCAGTGTCAGCACAAAAATGTATATCCGCGGACTCAAGTCCCAATTCTCAAACAGGGTCATGTCTATTTATAAGCTACCGAAGGGATGTACCTGCCTGCAGGACGGAGGATACAGTCAAATAAGTTAATAAATAAATAAAAAGTGCATAAATGGAAATAATAAATACCTACTTTACTAAATTTATTCACATTCAACAATTTACAAATTTACATGAGACTATCAGTAAATGCTCCTACAGGCGTTAACGCTTAAACATGATTTTTTAATGCATTAATTAATAATTAGACATGTTAATTATTAACTAAACACAATTTATTTCTTTCTAGATACAATGCCACTTGTTAATGCACATTGCAATGACATCATTGATTGGTTCACACGAAAAAACAGAGAGTTTCTGACATCATTGAAAGGTTTCCACTAAGGTTAAGTGACACGATATCCTAAAATCAATTTAAATTCAACAGTATTAAACTTGCACTATAATTTAAGAGGAAAAATAAGGAAACAGAACCTATCATCGGACTGATTAACTAAAATTCTCGATTAAATACATGTTTTAATTAATTATTAGGGGAGAGAGAGAGCAAGAAAGATATGGAAATGCAGATGAAAAACAGTGTCTAAAGACAGCTGACGTTTTATGCAAGAAATGTTTTTCGCATTTAAGATTGTAAAATCTGAACTCAAACATTAAGAGACAAGTCTATTTTTATTAGTTCTGAACTTATTTCCCCATGTGATGCAATATCTCAGCAGATCAAGAAGTGACACTGCTAAGAGATGATAATTTTTGAGACTTGAAAGTTGGGCAGATTATTTAATCTGTTGAAAAATCTATGTTTTAGCACTAACAAAAGGTTCCAAATTAATTAATTCAATTAACTAGCCAGCTGAAACTCCTTATGATCGGACTTGTAGAAGCATATTCGCAAAATTTGAATTTGTAAATTTGAAATGTCTTTTATCATAAAATTTTAGGAGTGCAGGACTGTAAGGATGATTATCTTTCAAGTGAAGATAGTGAACTTCCGGCTCATTTGTCGTGTGACCACACTCTTCACAAACGTACATCTGAAAATAGATAAAAAATAATTGGTTAGAGCCAAAGGTTTTACATCAAGTACACGTGCTCAACAGTTCAAGTCATTGTGAGAAAATTATGAGACTACCAATACATACTTTCTATCGAGACAAAACCAAGATCAAATTCAAAAACCAACATTTCCTTCTTCAGAGTGGCTGTGAATTCAAAGCATTTCTTAAAATGTCCACATAAAAAATTTCGAAATTTAGAAGAAATATGGTGTGCAGAATCAGAGTCCTGAGCTTGCTGTATGGACACAATAATATACTACAGGGATCTCTTTTGTAAAGAAAAAATTGAAAAAGGTAGCTCTCTATTTAATAGCTGAGTGACTCCTGAAACTACATCAATATTGACTGCTAAGTGGTTTGAGAGATTTTGCTATTTTTTTAAGCAACAATTTACCAGAAATAAAAATTTAAAGAAGGCATTGGTGCAATCATGATGAGGAGCAAAATGAAGACATGATATTACAGGGCTTTAGATTTGATGAAGTTTCATGCTTCCAAAGATCTTGTGGGAGAGCCCAAGAGCCCATTTAAGTGTCTTTCACAGGGGTTTACTGGTATTGAGCAGTTAAATATTATCACACATTTTCTGAGAGGAGAGGGGGGGGGGGGGGCTTCTATTGCGGGACCCTTTTAGGTACGCCTGTGCACAATGGCATGATTCTATCCAGCATAATCACCGGAAATTCATCTCATAATAGGAAGGCACCTCTAAAAACTCGTAGCATCAAAATCACTTAAAGTCAAGTCATGAAGTTCTGAGTCATGCATTTCACATGAAATTTCCAAGATTTAATACAACTTACTAGCTTCAATAAGATTTTAATGATACATCAGTTAAAATTAATACGAATATTTTGATAGCATTGGTTAATTTTTTGCTTATATCGATAATCTATGATACTTACTTTAGTTCTGCGCTCTTTGTAAGCATACTGATGTTGCACTCCATGCACCTTAAGACAATGAGATTCTAGAGAACATCGCTGTGTGAAAGATTTTTCACATAAATTGCACTTGTATGGACGGACACCTAAAAAAGAAAAAGTAAAGTTTAGTTAGTGATAGAGCTTAGTTTTTCTGTAGCAAAAATCAGTCGCTATGGGATATCAGAGAATTTAATGAAAGAAATCAGGATAGCAACACAAAATTTGGTCCGGCTTTGAATAAAAAAGTAAATTTTAACTTGCAATTTACACAAATTTCAAAATATTTCTCTGGCTGTTTTAGGAAAATGGTAGAAAAATTGAGCTTTTTAATTTAACTCTTGAATAGTTTGAAAAAAAATACAGAAGGCTGGTTTGTGCTAATCTTTTTAACTACATCACAAGCACCTGGAGGTTGTACTTGTGATTAAGGTTTTTTATTGGCATCTGAGAGAGTATTAAGAATATGCAAGGAAGGGTGTGATGTACTGACAGCTGTAGTCTGATCTCTGACCAAGAATACCCAGCTAGTGTTATCAAACTGGTAGTCTTTGAACTGCCCAAGTTCGAGAGCAGAGAGTCAAAAACAAAGAAAGCAATGGTTCCATCAGATTTGATGAAGAAGGAAACATTGTTGTAGCAACATGAAGACTTCGCCTTTTATTGTGCAGAAAAAAAACCAGGCTGTAAAATTTAGAAAAAACCTGAAATTTAGAATTTACCTGTATGTGTGCGAGTGTGCCGTTTCAGGTCAAACGTATCATTGAAACCCTTCCCGCAGAATGTACATAGATAACGTTTAACATCACTGTGACATTTCATATGCCTGTTCAGGAGTCGCTGGAGACTAAAACTTTTGGTACAAAGATGACAGGAAAAGCGAGAATTCCCACTTGAGCTGTCACGGGCAGATCGAGCGGGTGCCTCTTCGGAGCTTTTTTCAACTTCAGGTCGTGGCGTGGAATGGACAGTGTCCTGATTGGCCAATGGATTCTTAATTCCATGACCACCATTGACAAATTCTAGAGCGACATCTCCAGGCAAGCCCAGCTGAAACAAAGCAATACATTCATTTCAAAATGGGAGTAGACCACAACAAGTGGGGCCATTGTGTCACTTTACACTGGTGCAATCGTAGATTAAGGTGTGATTACCCTCAGAGACCAATAATCTATGTTTCTTGGAGTAATTTCATGACGAAGTTTGCAACAGGATCAAAAGGATTATAGCCTCCACTGTGATTAAGATGGGTGCATAAGTAGGATGAAATCCAGTTCAATCATAAAGACCCAAATAGAAACTATTTTAGCGATGGTAGCCATATAAAGGCGAAAATGACGGAAACTTAATGGCCCCATTTGTATGCATTAAAATGATAACCAGCTAGTGTAAGGCTTTCTTTTCACCCTCTGTGAATGACAGAATAGGAATTCTTGAAGTATTTTAAATCACATAAACTCTATGTGTGTAACTCAGTCAGAGAAAAGTACAAAACTACAAAGGTAAAAGAAAAAACATCTGCTAGAATAGACAATACTCCTGATATTATAAGCTCGCTTAATTCCCTTGTTTTTGAGGGTAAAATTTGTTTGTTGATATATATTTTTCTTGCTTCTTGATGAGGACTTATGTTTGGACTTCGTTGTTTAATTGTTAAGCAAAAAATTATTCTTCGGGAGTGAATAAGTGCCTACGCTTAAATTGGTATATTTGTGTCATAGTCAATTAAAGGGTGCTGTGTGTTGCATAGTGTCTAGAATCTATCTTGTGACCGGCATTATTTCAGAATATCTGAGACATATCTCATATATTTTTAAACATTAATTATTTTTGCAGAGAGGGCATTGGGCAGCACTGGATCATGCTCTAGATTCATAATGTTCATGGTTCTTGTCACAAGGATTTTTCTAGGAACTATTGCGTTCAATTTAATTGCATTCAAAATTATGGAAGAATTTTATGAGAATACTTATCATTGAGAATTAAAATTGCAGTAAGCTATAATTAATATACATTGACTTATTGCAGATGCATCTCATAGTTACTCTTAGTTGTAGAAAGCAAAATATCGAGAGCCCAGAATATTTGATCTGACAATTAGGTATAGACTAGTTGAGGGCACTTAATCAATTACTTCGCGTCTAGAGTGCACAGCATCAAACAATTTTTCATTTTAATTTACAAGTAAGAAAGGTGTAGCTAGCATTTGAAACGTATGATAGGTCTGGAAACCAATTATTAGAGAATATAAAATTATTCCAAAGAAAAATTTCTGCAACATGCTGCTTTCTCGTTACCTACGCACTAGCATAAAGCTGTCCGAAATATTTAAATGAAACAGTTAATGCCTTAAACTACTTGAAAACTTTTGTTGAAAAAACGCCAAAGACACATTCAAGACTAGTCTCAAAATTACTCAAGAGAAATAGGTAGTATAGTAACCAAACTTTTGAGGAATAGTAAATCTTTCCTGTGTCCTTCACATGCTTTTTCTTCTCCAAAGAGGAGGATGTCGCATGTAGATGGTACTATGGACATAGTGCTTGACTCTAATAGAAACTTTAAAGCAGGGGAAGCATTTAATTGGGAGATAGTGGGTTTGAACAGCCTCTGATTCTTAAGATTGAAAATTTTCAAAAGAAGTGGGAGGAAAGAGGGAGGGAGATGTCAAATGGTGCTATGGACATAGTGCTTGACTCTGATAGAAACTTTAAAGCAGGGGAAGCGTTTACCTAATTGGGAAATAGTGGGTTTGAACAGCCTCTGATTCTTAAGATTGAAAATTTTCAAAAGAAGTGGGAGGAAAAAGGGAGGGAGATGTCAAATGGTGCTATGGACATAGTGCTTGACTCTGATAGAAACTTTAAAGCAGGGGAAGCGTTTACCTAATTGGGAAATAGTGGGTTTGAACAGCCTCTGATTCTTAAGATTTAAAATTTTCAAAAGAAGCGGCAGAGAGGAGGGAGGGAGTAACGTACTTTAGCAGATATTTTACTGAAAAAATGGCCATAATTCGGAGGCTCCGTTGTCTTGCTCACCCGTTGCTGAAGGACCCCAACTCGAACTTGAAGATTTGGAATGCCAGAGACATCAGACTGAGGGGAGGGTGAATCCAAATTGCAATTGGCAGGAGAAGGCAACGACATACTTGTACTCGAGTCCAGTTCTAAGGAGGAGAGCCCCGGCGATAACAAACCCACTTGTCCCGAGGTCTATGTCACAAAATCAAATTTTCCTTGATTAGAACTTATAACAACAAACTTATTTGGTTTAGTAACCGCAAGCAAGCCTATTAGAATTGAGGGACTTGAAGGACAAGGCGCATAAGTGCAGATTTTGCTATTTCAGAAATACAAGTTTAAAGTTTCAAAATTACATGGAGCCTAATGGCTGAAAGGAAGTTTTAACTCATTTTTTGATGGCATAAGTTGGATTCTGTGATTTTTTTACCGGAATGCATTTTCAAACTAGTTTTAGTTGAGTTCAAGAAAATCTCAATTTTTAAAAAAACTTCACTGACAGGCCTTGTCCTCCAAGCTCCTCATATATAAACATATGAAGTCATATAGTGTAATGCCATATTTTTACTTCGATCACATAATTATTCGAATAATATGTCGATGGCTACAATGCGAAACCACGTACCTCCGTTTGCGACGTGGCAAACTTCCTGTCACATTTAATTATTATTTTTTTTATTTATTTATTTTTTTTTTTTGGAAAACTAATCAACTTAGTTTCTAAAAAACCACCTTGACTTTTCCTCTATCCTAGCAGACTATTCCGTAGAAGTTCCGAGCTGTATCGTTGACTTGTTTCTCTTTGAAAAAAAATAGAGAAGCAGAGCTGTAGAAACACCGCAACAGAGACATGTGGTTTCGGACTTTAGCCATGGATATAAAATTACCATATTTTTGTTTCTCCACTCGATTTTTGGGTAAAACTTCATGATGACGCGGCCAACTTATGCAAGTATGGAAGATCAAATCAAATATTGCTAATAACATTAGTTTGATGATTATCTTAGTTTATATATCTTATTTTTTGAAACCATTACTTCCAATCAGCGGTGTTATAATGTTAAGACATTGGCCTAGCAAGCTATTCATTTAAGGGGACTAAAAGCTTTTTTTTAGCCTCGCTTTTCGGGCATACCTTTTTTGCAAAAAAATGGTCATAAGTCATATACCTACCTAGAAAAGTCACACAATTGTTTTTGGATTTCTGTGGACACTTCGTGAATTCAAGCAAGAGCAATGCTATGCACACGGGATAAGAATGCTTCCTAATTCCTTTTGATTTGATTAATTTGTGCGTAGTTCCCTCAGCTTAGATAAATGCGTTAGGTTCGTCCTTTCCCTCACGAAAGAACAAAACTCTATATCAATGTTGCCAAATTTCCCTTTGCAAATTGCATATTATACAAGAGCATCTTGGGCATTTCTAACTGCAAATTTCACTAATTTCTCCTCGGATCTCGTGCTAAAATCAGGAACAATTTGGATAAAATTTGGACGGGTACATTTGGACGTATTTCTGTCAAACGGAACTAAGCGCCATAGGGGGAGGAAGGTAGAGGGGGGGCTTGGATTGGCGGCGGAATCGGGCGTCGGGTTCATCCCGTCCTATACTCGCAATGCTTTTCCATAGCGCTTAGTTCCGTTGGACAGAACGCGCTATCCGGCGTTCTAAATTCCTCAAAAGGAACTTAAATTGGCGCTTAGTTCCGTTTGACAGAAATACGTCCATTTGTGTAAAAAAAATACTTATTTCAGTTAATTTGGCAACCTTGGAATGGAGTTACGCTCCTTCGTCCAGGAGGCTGCGGATTGCGACATTGACTGCCCAAACAGGCAGCTCAGTGCAAAGAAAAATACTCACCTCTGATTGATGTGATTGATGATGCTGCTGCTGTTGCATTTGTACTTGGATTTGGAGTTGTTGCATTTGTTGCTGGGGCTCGTCCGAGAGGAGGCCCATGTCGGGCTTTTCGACTTTCGGGATGAATTCCGAGTAGTTGCTGAAGCTCCGAGACTCCGTACTTGAAACCGAGCTAGTTGAAAACGATTGTGAAGGAGAAGTGGTAGCATAGCTCGGCCTAGGCGTTGGGGGACTGTCCAAGAATCCCCGATGCTCCGGGAATGGATTCACGGAAGGCTCAACAGGAGGAGGAATGCTCTCGCCAGACTGAATTAGGACAGAAAAAAACCGTAAAATTAAACTCAAGCCAAGTGGTAACCCCGGCATAAAAAAGGCATTAAAAAAGTGTTCGTTGCCTAACCGGCTGAAAAGATCATGATGATGACCGATTGGTGAGTGCGGCTCCAAAACAAAAAATTAGTTCATTAATTTTTTAAAAAAAACATAGAATTAACTGGACTTGAGCAATTTATTTTTTAACGAGAGAACGTTTGTGCAGGTTGTTTTGAAGATTTTACGTAATTGGCAAAAAAAAAAAATCTGCACATAAGCGTTTTCATGTAAAAAATTCATTTGCCCGATTAGATTTGGCAATAGCTGATGTGGCTTGGTTCTTTCCTGCTGAACGCGGTCCAACTTACTCAAGTCAGATGAGAGGGCAAAGCGCGATCCAAGGCGCCCGCACCATAAATGTCCTTTTCTGCATTTTTGCATGATTTTCAATAATTTTACCGTGCGATTGCAATTTATTGCAACTTGTGCTAATTGAGATCTTAAACTGGAGGGTCTTGGAGGACACGGCGTATGAGCGCAGTTTTTGCTATTTCGAGAAATAATTACACGGATCCTTATAGGGGAGAGAAAGTTCAAACTGACTTTTTGATTCTTAAAAATTTTAATTTGGGAGCGAATTTTCCACAGAATATGCAATGAGACTAGTTTCACTTGAAATCATTAGTATCTCAATTTTTTCAAATCTGCATTTCTGCGCCTTGTCCTCCAAGCCCTCAGTTAGTCTCCACCTTAAGGCGGAGAGACGCAACATCAAGACCTGACATGGCGCTAGCTCTGACTTGATGATAAGTTTGAACCTTACCTCTCTAAGGAACAAATCGGCAGCGTCAGAGAGGGTTTCCAGGAGTGCCGTGTGATCTGCCGGACTGGAAAACGTAAGCGTGGCGGTGAACTGAAGCGGGTCGACAATGGAGCCGGTGGCGGCATCGACCATGAGAGCATCGTCGTAGGGCAAGAATCCGCCGTTGTCCTTGACGTAGCTGGACAGGTCCTCGTCATCCTTGACAGTGATCCCGTAGGTGGCGCACACGTTCTGCAGGAGGGAGTACTGCTTCGAGAGGCCGTCGTTCCCGCCGCCGCCCGGGAAGTGGAGGGCGCTCAGGTCGTGCTGCCCGGTGTCGCAGTCCATCGGCAGGGGCGGGTTGAGGAGCCCTTGGAACTGGCTGCTGTACTGCTGCGAGTAGCTCGTCAGGCCTCCGCCCTTGAGGCTCTCGCAGAAGGGCGGCAGAGAGGCCATGGGCGGGCTCGTGGGCCCGTAGTTGGACTTGCCGTTCCCGCCCGGGTTCATGGAGCCGCCGCCGCCTCCGAGACCGCCCAGACCGCCGCCCGCGCCGCCGCTTCCCAAAGCGCCGCCGCCTCCAGCGTAGCCGTGCCCGGCGCCGGAGCCTCTGGACCCGCAGCCCCCGGCGGAACCTCCGTTCTGGTGCCCGCAGCCGCCGCCGCCGCCTCCAGCTCCGGCTCCGTTGCGACTGTGACCGGCCGCCGCCGTCCGGACCCGCCCTTCTTTCAGGATCTGCTTCCACAGCATGATCTGCTTCGTCTTGGTGAAGCCGATCACGTATTTGTTCATCTTGGGCGCCTCGTCTTTCTCCTTCTTCGGGACGTGATAGTCGATCGGGGCCTCTTGTTCCGGTTCTGGCTCGGGTTCTTGGACGTGGGCGGGAACGGGACTGGGGCCAGCGGGAGGAGTTCCGGGTTTCGGCGAGGGGGCCGTCGGGACGTTAGGGGTTCTTTGGATGACCGATACTTGCTGGCATCGCGGCTGGCTCAGGAGGGCGAGCGGGTCGCTCTTCGTCGGCAGGTACTCTTTCCTCTCGGCCGAGGTGGGGACGTGGTCTCTGCCGCTCTCCCGACGGAGGGGGTCGCCGAGGACCTTGGGCGACGTCGAGCGGAACTTGGACGATGAGAAACTGCAATCGAGGGTCTCCGATCTCGAGCTCTTGCTCCTGTTGCTCGGCAGGGACGGGCTTGGAACTCGACTACGCTCTGTGCTTGGGCTTTGGCACCTGAGAGGGTCCTCATCATCGCGACGACGATCATCTGCAACAAAAAAATCAAACACGGGAACATTAGTTTTTCATCAAGTCTCTCAACTTCCAATCGTCCTCCTCATCCAATACGTTAAGAACATAGAGTACATAGAGTAGTAATTAAAGTGGGTGAGCTAGCGCCACTTTTAAGCATTTTCCAGGTCCCCAATTTCGAGACTCCTGTATGACGCCGGGTCAGTTTTTCGATACATGATCGATTTTTTGCGATACACGGGTACCCGGCCATCCGATGTAAACCAAGAAGATAGGAATCACCGCGTATTCCACACCGCCATTTTGGATCGAAAATGTATCGAAAAAGTGACCCGAACTCGGCGCACACCGGGCTCGGAACTCGTCGAGCAGAACATGGCGCCAGCTCTCCCATTTACATTACAACTCTATGTACTCTATGCTTGAGAAAGAAGTCGAAAGAAGTATAATAACGAGTTGGACGTATTTCTATCAAACGGAACTATGTGCATTAAGACATGAGCCCTGAGACCCGTAAGAATACACGTATAACAGGGCTCACTCCACAGGCTGCACATAGTTCCGTTTGATAGAAATACGTCCAGTTATCTTTCGATACCTCTTTTAACAGTCCCCCACTCGGTTAACCATGCAGTTCACTTAAGATATGGTTGAGATTGCCGGAGAGTATGAATTTTTTTTACAATAAGGGTACCCTAAGTGAATCAGTCTGACGTCAGGCTATGTGTCATAAGCTACCCTGATTGATCAGTCAGATTGATGTCAGCCTGATTCAGTCAGACTCAGGGCAGTTTATGAAACATAGCCTGTCGCCAGGCTGACCCACTTTTAATAGGGGCACTGAGCAAATATGAAGCATGTCTATAAGTTTCCGCGGACATTTAAAATTAAGAAAATTGATACATATCAAGGTTATAGATCTTAGGGCAGCCTGAAAGACTGAGGTGGGGGTGATCGGAGAGAACTCAGCATAAAAAGACGAAATACGAGGCAGCGTTGCAAATTTTGTGAAACTTTTCCTTCGGTTTGACTCTGAGTCAGTAATGGTTTCCGGTTCGAGTTTCGGCGACGAATTCACATTAAACTGAAAAGTGGGTCTGCTGAAATCGAGTCCACTCGATTTGGATCCCTGAAAATTTGAAAACCGAATTTCTTTGTTTTTTGTTTTTCTTTAAAAAAATTTATTTATCTATATGTATGAAATAAGGAATAGAAAAATATGCACGGAATTTTCATTTGAAAGATGGATGCGCACCGTCTCTTTCAACCCCCTGTGTGTGTGTGTGCTGATGGCTGTGGCTGTTGCAAGTAAAGTTTTTGAAAAGCCAAATAAATCAGCCAAAAATAAGAAAATGAATCGAGGACAGAAACGTTTGGAAAAGAAGACGGTGATGACGTCACTTTTGAATCGACCTGCGAGGCTCCGATTTGACTTATCTCCTCGACTTCCGTCATTACTTCTTTGAAAGTCCTACTCATCTGCCAGCTGCAGTCACTGCAACACAAAGGCTCCAACATGAACTAGTGACGACCTTGGCCTTGGTTCCCCTGATTCTTTACCCGATCACTTTTTGTTTCTACACAAAAAATTACGAGGATTCCTTCATCGTAATTAAAACCGATAGAGCGCTAACAATCAGGGGCGTAAGTAAAACTGATGGGTGAAAGTTGGAAACCCCAAACACATGTTCACTGGGCTCTCCTCGCCTTCCTCTCAAGGTTATCCCACCGATATAATCCTTTCTCAGCTGCTCCAACCCCTGGCACCGACCGCTTTGGGTGGGAACAGCCTTGCTCAATTCATTACAGAGTGTAGAGACGATCGATTATCGACGTCATTCTTCTTAAAAGATCGTTGTTTGATTCAATACGGAGTTCACGGGATCACCGCGATGGAGCCCTTTGACATGTGTAGGGCTCCATCTAACGAGCAGATTTACAAGAGCAGCTGACCAAATGAGCACTCTGCCGTGCTGAGGAAAAACGCCGTATGAACCTTCAGGCGTTGCCAAATTTTCTTTGATAAAACACGTATCACCTGGTAAACTTATGAATATTTCCCTCCCAATTTTTCAGATATATTTTTTTTTTTTTTGCAATTTAGCCTAAAGGTTCTGAAAATTTAAAGGAAAAATATTTATAACTTTCCTCGAAAATGAACATTTTATAGAAGGAAATTTGGCAACTCTCGAATGTTCATACGGCGTTCTTCCTTAGTACGTCAGCACTGCTGTCGTGCGAAGAGAGAGCGTCGTATGAGCCTTTTGACGTTACTTTAACTTTTCTACCCTTGCGTTTGAGTCTCCTCGGACCGCATGGATCTTTGCCGGCTCCGAGACTTGCCGTTCTTTAGTGTTTGATATGGTTAACTTTTCTATCCTTGCGTTTGAGTCTCTTCGGACCCTAATATACCTCCGTTAATATTTGAAGTAGAACTGTGGCGTTTGAGCAAACCTTACTAGTTTTTGTGGAATTCATTGGAGAGTTGTTACAGAGCCGCCGTACGGAGCAAAAACCACTCTTGCAACTAACGACTGCGGGATGATTATTGAAATTGATAGACAGAGCGATAGCCAAAGAAGTCATAGGGAGTATGAAGTGATCCTATTGATTGAAGTGGGTGGTTCCAATAGACTAGGGAGGAATATGATAGACTAACTACGCAGGGTCTCTCGTAGGTTGCCGTTAGTTAGTCTATTACTTACCTCCTTTGACCATTGCAACCACCCGCTTCCAGCAATAAGATCTCTTCATATCCGCTTCCAGGGTGTTTTCCCGAACATCCCGATTCTGTCAGGATTTGAGGTCAATCAGGATTTGAGGAAAAATCTGTCGTAAAATCAGGATTGGAGAAAAGTCGGCCGTCCGATCGGATTTTATTATCGATCTATTTTTGTGAAGTTACATTCGCCTCCGCAAAAAACGGGATTTGATCAGTATTTGGAAAAATTATGAAATCAGGATTTGAAAGAAATGAAAAAAACTAGACACCCTGACTTTGTTTTCTTTGTCTATGGCTCTATCTATCAATTTCAAAAATCGACCCGCCGGAGGACCAAACTCATCCGTATGAAATTCGTAGTAGATGGAAAGAAGGGCAGGTGGTCCTCGAGTCGAAAGTGAAGATACAAACAATCTCGTTAGGAGCGCTCCATACGTCTGATAGCACCCTCGCACAGAGAATGAAATCTGATCAAGGTCTTGGACCTCGATAAAAAAGGAACTCGGAATCGTCTTCTGGACGACCCCAGGGCGCCCCAAGGCTAAACGCCGGAATGAATGATCGAGCCGAGATTACACCGAGGCCAAAGCGCCAGATTTTTGATGCTGCCATCGCGCAACGCGCCTCCTCCTGCCTTACAGATGTTCACTCTCGCTCTCGTTCGTCAAGTGTGGGAAACCTGGTGTGCTTAGTAAATAAAAAACAACACCGACAGGTAGAGTAGATCAACTTTAGAAAGGTTAGGTCGATCATGAGAAAGGGTCCGATCTACGGTTAACGAACTTCCGCACCAGATTTTTGTGTTCGGACGCTCCCGAATCTTGTCCCGAGTTCCCCACCCTAAGCACTGTTGTCAAATCTATTGAATCTAATTTAAAGAGAGGAAGAGTCACAACCCTTTCACACTATGGCCATGTCTCCCTCCACGGGCCGTTCCGCCAGATTGGTCGCCGGGAAAAATCCCAATTACGAGGTCGGGAAAAATCAATATTTTTCCCAGCGCCAAGTATGGTACTTACCCCTCAGACCAACTGAGAGAGAAAGAAGGATTGTGAGCAAATGGGCCTGTTGCAAACTTTTGCTAGAGCAAAACTAAGAGTTGTTTCCTACAGATAATGCCTCAAAAATCACGATGAGCGCATCGGCAAAGTCTGAAATGCACTCATAACTTCACAATCTGCGTAAGAAATTTGCGGTTTTTTGAGCTTCCCGCTTCGAAAACGATACTACGGTACAGGTGAACATTTTGTTAGAGGAGTCGTTCCATTGGCGACAATACTCATCATGGCCGACGCCAGTCCGCCAAAACACGTGTGATGGGACGAGATAACACTTGAACAGGATTAAACCATATAACAATCGCCGTGTTTACGTTCATATTTTCCTCGCCCGCCTTAATTGACCTTGAACTCTCCTCAAATTACGCGAGGAACTGCGCAAGCGTCGGCCATGATGAATATTGCCGACGATGGAGCGACTCCTCTAACAAAATGTTCACCTGTGCAGTAGTATCGTTTTTGATGCGGGAAGCTCAAAATAACGCAAATTTCTTACGCAGATTGTGAAGTTATGAGTGCATTTCAGACTTTGCCGATGCGCTCATCGTGATTTTTGAGGCATTATCTATAGGAAACAACTCTTCATTCTGCTCTAGCAAAAGTTTGCAACAGGCCCATTGTGCGAAATTTTGTGGTTTACTCGATTATACGTGTTTGTCTGGTGAAAATAAGTCTAATTTTTAATTGTGTACAGTTATATTCTTAACACCGGTTCAATACTCGATTGTTACTAATGTTTCTTCACGCATCAACTTGTCGCGGGAACGTTACAGCCCCGTCCCGTGGAGACGGTAACAGGGAAAAATTAAGTTTCACTCCTGCGATTCGAACTTGGGACAATTCCCATGAAAACGTCCGTGGAGACGAGGCCTATCAGAACGCTGAATGCTGCAGGCGGAATGCGGATTAAAGGAAGCTATGTGTGTCTAGACTGCAAAGTCAAAAACGTGGGAAGTCAAACTGGAAGAAAAAGTCTCCTGGATCCGAAGTCCAGACTCTAAAAAAGTTTGACAAGGAATAAATTATTGACTCAATCGGGTTTTTCCTTGAATCAGAGCGTGCCGTGCTTTGCGATAAGTCGATTAATTTGCCATTTAAACCTGTGGAAAAGGATCGATAAACAGGGTGTTTGCGACAAACACCGATTCTTTGCCGCAGCTTCAAACGGGGGAAAAATCGATTCTCGATCATTCACGCCTCGCCATTGGCAGATCATGCTTTAAAGGACGAGCCAGA